ATAGCAGAGGAACCTGCAACCTCCGTCCTTCCCTTCTCTTCCATTGTCGAACTTCCAATTTGTGCGAGTTGGGAAAGCTACCGAAACAACATATATTACTCTAGATTATTTATTTCCGTATTTTTCTGCAATTTTCGTGGCTACATCCCAACTTTTATTTCTTCTCCACGAGTAATACCACTTTCAGTTCGTCGCTGGCACCATCTTCTTCTCCATCACTGGCAATTTTGACGCAGGATGTCCGCGTCGCCGCGGGTTTCTCCGCTTTCCAGTTTGTGCTTCGCTTCTGGAGTTTCGGGCAGTCGCGCGCTCGCTTCGTTCTGCACGGACTCCGCCGCCATTACGGCGACTATCTGCGGAAGGCGCGTCTTTGTTGGCCTCGTAACCCGCGCTCCCTCTTCGACGCGCGGGCTGCTCTTACGACGGCTTCCTTGCCGAGGCGCTGCCGCCCGCCCGGCCCGTTCCTGCGCCTTGCGGAGCCAGTCAGTGCTGATCTGGTTTTTGAGCCCTAATAGCACTGAATGGTGAAGGCCTAAGTTAGCGGTGTTGGAACGTGAGGTGCAGCGCCGACTTGCACGTCGGTTGATTCATTGATTACCGATTACGGGCGTGTCAACTGCTAAATGCATTAGTCCCTTATGTGTATTACATGCCTCATCGCTGGAGGTACCGGAGAACTTCCCCCGCAGAATAGTCGAATCCGGCGCCGACCTACGCTGGCTTGCTAGATTTTCTCCATCCAGGTATCTCCTACCAGCGGGCTACTGCCCCCAGCCAGACATGCGAGTGTAAGTGGACGTAAGTAAGGGGTGGGATAGGACAAGGATGAGGAAGAAAAGACCGCGCGTGTTAGGGTACAGCTCCGGCATTCGCCTCGTGTTCATCAAAGAATCCACGGAAAACTACTGATCAGAGTAACCGACCATTATTGCTCTGATCGGTAGTCCTCTTCCAGACAGCGGCTGAACTCGACCTAGCTGTCCAGAAAGCAACACTACTACTGTCCGGATTAGAACACCAGGGCCAGAGGCACTGCAGTGCAGATGATGCCTGAGCTACACGTCGGCTCCCAACAAAGGAACCGCCAGCTCTTCCAGCAAGAAACCGCCGCCGCCGGGGCAACCTCTCGAGATCGGTGGTAGTGTAGAGCGTATAAGTGAAGTGCGTGTACTGGAGAGGAGGGGGCAAAGTTGAGGACAGAAAGGTCGTGCGTGGTTCATGGTCCCCTTCGAGAACTCCGTTGTTCGAAAGTAGTATTGATCGGTGAAACCTCGGAAAATTATCGCTTCGGGCAGCCGGCTGCTGGACTTCTCCAGACAGACTCCTCTACGCTCTTCGTGTCGCCAAATGCACCGCTCGCCGGGGCTAAACGCAGGGCCTCCCAGTCAACGCTGCCGCAGAGGCAACGGCTTTGCCGCCGCTCACTTCCGGCCAGCCACCTAATCGCGTCAGCGACGACATGAGAAAGCGTAACCGCGTTACGTCCCGCTCTCGCGCACCTCGCACGTCCCCCCCCCGCCCGCCCCGCGCTTTGGCGTCTCGCGCCGGCAATGACGCCCAACACCCTTTTCCATTGCGACCTCCTGCTCTTTCTCTGAGGATGACAATTCAGCTTTCTTTCCAAGACACGCCTTTGTCCTTCGTTGTTTTTTTCTTCTTTCAGTAAATGCTATGTTGCTAACCACTTCAAGCAGATATCTGTTAATTGCTATTCTTTTTTCCATAGATTACAATTATTTCTTATTGAATGGGTAGTGTAAGGTAGAACTCACTTTTCATTTTCAGTTCAACTAGTCAAAGGGGTAAAAAAAGATTTTCATAGTTTATGTTGGTGACCAATGAAAACGTAAAACATGTAAAAAATTGTCAATTAACCGGAGAAAGATTTTAATATGAGATAAGCCTTTTATATTACAGCCAATGAAAAAGTTTTACTCCATGTACTTTTTTATAAATTATTATTTACGAAATTTTTGCAAGAAAAATTGTCTACTATATTAAGCACTTTCTTCGCTGAAATAAAAGACGATATTTGTGAAAATTAATCAATCAATTTAAGACGATCTATGTTTTTTCTTTAATTTCTGAGTATTTTATATGTGTGGAAAAAGTTTTCTGAACATTGCAATAAAAATTTCTAACTTCATATTAAGATACTCGTTTTGGTTTAAGATGCCCAAGAATTAATCTTAAAAGATATTGTCATATTGTATTTTATCTATACAAAATGCACAAAAGTTGAAATTAGTTTAACGTCCATGTCTTGCAAAAATTAGGTTAAATAGAATTGTAAACGAATGTGCATTTGTCCTTTGACAATACCGTTTTTCCTTTTGCCCCCCCCCCCTTCAGTCGTATCATACGGTCTCATTCTCTATAGCAACTTTGATTGGATAGAGATGTCATCACAAAGGGTGAACATGAGGCCTGGAACCTGGACCTGGTTGTTAGAATGAAATAAAATACAATTTTTGTAATGGCTTAGTGAGCTTACAGTCATTTGACCTAGCTACTTAGTTTCAAGTATTGAACTTTATTTTTGCAATATAGCTTTGCTAAATACAAACATAATAAATAATTTGATATTAGAATTTTTATGTTTACCAGACTATTTGTTTATACTCGTACTTTTCATAGCACTACGGAGAATTCGTCCGTAATAGCACGTGCGTAAGAAGCAAAGTAAAGCTCTGGCTCATTCTTTTTGAATTTCACAGCAGAAAATTTATGAGGTTTCGCTCTCAGCCCCCTCATTTCTCTTTCCATGTTCCAAGCTCCTTCTACACTCAAACCAAATGAAACTACTAAATATTTCAAGTAGAAAACCCTTCCATTGTTCTAAACAATTGATGAGTTCTTCGACGTGCATATAAGGGAGTTCAGAAGTTTCAAAATCTTCCTTCTCTATTATCAAGGTAATTTAATAATTACTTCTTTAATACAATCCTTTGAGATGTATCCAAGGCTACTGCATAGTTATGATAAAATAACGGATAATAAAATCAAGGTTTTAAAATTACATCACAGACCTTACTGTTTGCTATTTCTAGTTGAATCTAATCCAAATTCTGTTTTTATCTTAATTTATTACGATATTTTCCTAAACGTCACATTCAGATAACAGGAAGATATAGTACCAACATTAATAATCTAATGATTACATTAAGTTTTTAAACAGAGGACATAAGTGTTTGTATATGGTTTTGATTATACATTGTACACGGTCGTTTTACAAAATATTCTCTAAACAAATTAATTACCATGTCTAGATTAAATTCTGGGAAAATATGCTTAGCTGGATTATATTATCCAAAATAAGCTGAGAACGAGGATAATTTGAGATTGATTTGTAGCATACATATTTTCGAAATAACCACGACACAAAGTACCATAATAAAATGTAATTCACAGAGAAACAAATACAATTAACGCAACATGATATTTTTTTTCAGTTTTCGCAAATGCCGCAAGTACTTTCGAACTGTCAAAATACATTTTCTCGTCAGACGCCGAACTGAAGGGGTGGCTACACAGCACGTAAATGAGATGAAGTTCCGAATGAGAGATTCGCATGCCACATGAAATGATAAACTGCGGTGAACTGTTTGCAGAGCAGCCTCTAATCACCAAGGGCGCGAAGTGGCGCCGGCGACAGAGGCCCAAACCGCCCTTCAGCCCGCTCGGCCCCCCTCCTCCCACGCACCCCACCCTCTCAGCCCCTCGCGCAACCCTCCGCCCCGCCCCGCCCCCAACGACCGTTTCGAGCGCCTTTCACGGCGCCGCGCTGAAGAACGCCCCGACGCTCCCTTTTGAGTGTATTCAGTGTTAACGACGGCATTTCCCCATCAAACGAAGGACGGGCGGCGTTAGTATGCAGGCCACTGCCGGGCAAATGAGTCGTGCCTTCACAAAATACGACGTGCTTCGGAAGGAAACGGTTCGATTCTAAAGAAATTTCAAGGAGTCGCTGGATGCTAAGTGCAAGTGTATCGCTGAGAGAAAGCGCGTTCTCCGAGAATTCTTGGAAGAGGATAAAGAACTCTAGGAGAAGGAGTATATCGTTTCTGCGACTTAATTATAAATAAAGACGTAATTAAGATAATTATGTCACTCATCTTGAATATCATCTTGAATATTTCTATTAATCTTGCTGGATGTTAAAAGTTACGGAGAGTATTATTACGTAACTAGTGATTTCAAAATACTAGCAATTTTACAAACAAACGTTTTCGAATCAAAAAGGATTATTTTTAAATACGTTATAACCATTTGTATTTCTTCACATATGTAGAACATATTAGAAGGGATATGTCGTATGATATTGTCTTCATAACCTTTGTAAAAATCAGAATCTACAAAACAACAATTCAAAAATATGTATTCGTCAACAGAAATGTTGGCATATTAACAACAATTTTTCAATCGTATTTCGCACTCCAAGCTAGTTAATCGTCATTCGCAGTTTTGCATAAAAATAACGTCCGATTTCTATATGTCCTATGAGTTAAAAAAAGATTCTTGACCAGTCACCAAATGAAAACTTATGTAAGTACTAATATAACCGCCATAGTGCAGTTATGACGCCTTCAGTGTAGGAAGTAGAAACGACATATAAACAAGACTAGCACGATTCTTGGAAGTTTCATATTTGTGACTTGTGCTACTTTTGTATAAAATCCGTGATATAAGATTATAAAATACCGATACACAAATACAAACCCATTCTATAACCTTTGGGTAATTGAGATATCCCCCACGCGAACCTTTGCGCAAAAGCAACCGTCGGCGTTTCTTGGCAAAGAAATGCGCGTGTGCATAAGCGACCAGAAATGGTGACTCATCCCGCCGCGTGGGGGCGCCAGGAGTCACTCGATCGGGGAGGGAGTTCATTAGTCCGACAGTCCCCTTCCGATGGCGCTTTGTGCGCGCTGCCAAGATTTATTCTGGCGAGGAAAATAACGCAGCGGACCCCGCCCCCGCCGCGCAACCCGAGGACTCACCTTGAGGGCGCCTTGTTGATGGTAGAATTTATCCGTGAGGCCCCGGCGTAAGATCAAAGCATCTCTCTGGAAAAAGAAACGCGATACATTAGATCAATTATTTTATCCAAGTGGACTGACAACTTATTCTTTGAAGTAAAAGTAATGTTAAGCTAACGGAGGAGGTGGAGGAATTTGGAATGGGAGGGAAGACGGGATAAGGAAAAAATAATCGCGCGCGGTCCGTGACGCGTATTCACGGGTGCTTCTGTGACATTTGCCAGGAAACAATATAAAAATCATGGAAGCCGCTCATCGGAGCTCTCTGCCCTGGACTGTGATTTCAGTAGGTAGGCGCCACAATTTCAACTACGTTAAACCCAAATAGTACAATTCTGGCACTATTTTATAAATTAAAATAATTGAAACTGATTCGAGATTGAGAAAAAGTCTCCTCCATTTGGAATTTTAACCGTCAAATGTTCAGATGATCGTTAAAAAAAATTACAGTTCTGTAAATCTGTTATGCTTTCTTCGGGGAAGAGTTACTCAATCATTCTTAATTCGAGGATTCCGTAAAATGTAATCACGTAAAGATAAGATCTCTTTAAGAATTATGAAAGGAGCTCTGAGCTGTGTTAAATTACACTTTAGTCACATAAATGCCGTGGAATGAAAATATATTCCTTGTTAATTATTTTGTATTTAACACGAAGGGAATGAGTTAGTATATTTTCCAACACGGAGAATGATCAAGCAAAATATTTTCTGTTAACTTATATTGATGATTTATTTCCTCACAATTAGACACTCCAATTTAATGCATGTCAAGTATGTCATTATTACAAAGTGTAACTATACATATACTATACTTAATATTAGCACATGATTTTCAAGAAGGAATGCACACGTGAATATGTAGTTATGCTTACCGTCTTCCTAAACTTCGTATAATTTACGACTAAGGCATTTGAATACGTAATGGCATTTGGAACTTGACCCCTACTACTTTCCTTATAGTGGGAATTCGTCATGCAGTAGCCCAAGTTATGGCAGTGGTTTATGTTTTCAAACGATAGACGGTCACACAAAAGAAATGGAATGGGCATAATAACGGCGAGTTCAATATTTGTTTCTCTTGAAAGATAACTCACAAACGTCACAGGTGATCAAAAGCTCTCGAAGCTGAAAATGATCTTCGCCCCGCTTCATCCATACAGTATGCCAGCTCAAAATGTTGGCAATATTTAACCAACAGTCAAGCTAACATCAGTCTGCTATTATTCACTTCTGTCAGACAGGCGTGTAGTAAGTAATTAACTTTATTAATGAAAAGAATTATTTTGAAAAATAAGTGTTTTACATTAGTTACCTGCAGAGGTTCAGACACATTTGACAGATACGTCACCAGATTATCAAATACAATATTTTTACTTTCGTGTAAATATATAACACGATTAAAACGTGTAAACTAAACAGCATGTGCACTACAATTATTTTTCTTGCAGATAGCCGAATGATTACTCATGTAGACCCCTTTACTTCTTCTTCCTTCAGACATTGGGTTCGTGTCCTAGATCTCTTTCTTGAGAGCCCCAGACTTCTTTTCCCAGGAAAAATCGCGGAATTATCGTTATTGGAATTTGTTGGATGTGGTCTCACCATTTTGTTCTGTATTATTTTATCATAGATTTTTTAACTGCTCACAATTAATTTTTTACGAATTTCATTATTCTTATAGTATGCGTACTATTATATTGATAACAATTGTGTAGTCTTAAATAAAATGTCAGTAAAACTCAATCGGTAAAATTGCAGATCAATGAAATTTCTATTTAATTAATTTCGAAAATAAATTAATGTTCGAAGGCAATATCGAACTAGATGACTGATCGATCGCAAGAAATGTTAAAACCTATGGTACTACATTACTAAAATAAAAAGTCTGGTGGCTCGAACGACCCGTCAAGCTTGTTGAAAGAGGTGAACGTCTGGTGCGGTTCTAACAATATTTACCGTACGTCCCCCATCAGCAGCAGGAAAACAAGAGGTGTCACTAGTAGTTCTAGACCCTTATGAATGGTGGGAGTGGCATGTGACTAAGAAAACACACTTGGACTTTCGAAGCAGGAGATGACTAATGGTAACTTCATTCATTCTTTCTGTACGCTGAACTCGAGAGATAAAAGAATAATGATGGATTACTAGAACAATTGAGTTCGTAAAAATAATTAATAGCTTCGTTTTTCTCTGAAACGCAATACTTATTAATAGTAACATTTGCAATGTAATGTATTTTACTAAAATAATAATTTTCAAATTATTCGTAACATTTTCCAACAATTAATACACTTTTTAAAACTTATTTTCTTGTTAATAACACTAAATAGACAATAAATTTTCGATCATATTTTTTCATACATCATTTTCACAAACACCAGACCATTTCAACAATGATATATTACCACTAGTACGCAGAAAGTACAAACAATAAAATTGGTAAGTTGATAACAATCGTATGAAAGAAAGTTTTCTTCCAAGACTAAAAATAATTTCTCTCAATATCGATTTTGAGATCAAAATAATTTTCTTGACACATTTCAAGTCTCATATATTTCTTTTCCTGGATCTCATGTCTCAAATTTTATGATTCTGTTGATTTTTAACTCTCTGAAGAGACTTGGCTTTTAAGAAAATTATAATCTGCAACTGCTAACATAACGATATATTGACACATGTCTACATGTTCGTCAAACACGAACGTTGCACACTGAAATACATTTTTCCGATTCTCGACAGTCAAATTAAATAGATTATTAACATCTACACAGCATCAAAAGAAATTAGCTATCCAGATCAATAAAAATATCCGTTGATCGACCTTCGATATTATAAAAATAATATAACACCTGTTAATTTAATTTGAAAACATACAAGAGATGCGTGATGATACACAGAAGAAACCGAAGATAAATCGAACACACTCGGCCAAATTATTGCGCCATTCTAATTTTTTTATTTCTTTTCATCTTAAAGTTTTGTGCTTTCAAATTAGTTTCTAGGAGGTTGGCAACGCTGGCGAGGATTTACCGGGCTGTTGTTGGAGTAGGAGACGCGCCGGTCGCGCTTCCTGCTCATCCGCTGCTGCAGCGCGTAATTCGGGGGCGCTCCCTCAGAGGCCCTCTGCAATCAGAGCCCGACCACCTCACGCTTTGGTTTCGCTCGTCGGTAGTTGCATTGAAAAATGCTTCCTACCCATCTGAACAATTCTCAATGGTACACGATGTAGATGTGTTTCAGAAGGAATGTTACAATCTTCAACGCCATGTATGGTGGTAAAAATATTACATTTTGTCAATCAATGGAGTGTTTCGCATAACGAGTTACACATGTGGTATTTCCCCCTAGTTTTTAGGGAAGCCATTATGTTTTAGTATTTGGGATGTCACAGTCTGTTACAGTCAAAAATATTTCATGTACCTAACACCAGTGCATGATAAATTGGTTTCGCTCATCAGTAGTTGCATTGAAAAATGCTTCCCACTCATCTGAGCATTTCTCAATGATACATAATGTAGATGTGTTTCAGAATAAGTGTTACAAACTTCTACGCCATGTATGCTGGTAAAAATATTACATTTTGTCAATGACCCTGTGGTGGGGTGTTTCGTTTAACGAGTTACACATGTGATATTTGCCCCTGGTTGTTAGGGAACCCGTTATTCTTTAGTATTTGGGAAGTCACATTCTGTCGCAATCAAAAAGAGTTCAGGTACCTGTCTAACACCAGTGCAGAACGAATTACCTAAAACCAAGGACCAATGTCATGAAACGTTTTTATTAAAATCTCCCCGCCAAAACCGCCTTCAGTCCCGCTACATGCCCTAGATGTGAGAAATATTTATTTTGAAACATTCTGAATATAACAAACGCTATTTTCAAAAATTAATGTATCACATTTGTTTGTTGCGGCAAATCTAATATTTTTAAATGAGATAATTAACGGATTTAATTTATGTAGCATCACCAAAAATATTTTTTTGGAATTTTGTACAGGGGAAAAAACACAGCGTTTATCACGTAGAATGAGTTAGACATTTTAAAGGTTGGGTTTTAACGGTTGTGAATTGTTGAACATGTAACAGATGTACATTAACCACTGTAGAATCACAAACATTGATGAACAATAAAAGAAAATTGGTTTAAGGGATTGGTCATTGTGGTTATAGAAACAATTTGTTGTGCTGTTTCTCTAACCACAATTATCAATCCCCTGAACCAATTTTATTTTAAGATGTACATTGGAAAGAAAGGTGTAATATTTAATGAGACAAGCCTTTCTTTTTATGTAGACATTCCTTGCATTAGAAAAGGTAAGAAAATAGGAGAAGAACACAGAGCAAGATCAAGGAGAAGTAAAAAGGGGACAAACAAAAAATGAGGATGGAGAGAGACAATAGGAAGATGCTAAAAACCACGAAATGAAGGCCTTTTTGTTACGGTACTGCTCCGGTATTCGCCTTGTGTTGATCGGAGAAACCACGGAAAACTACCGATCAGAGCAGCAGGCCGCTAGAAGTCTCCTCCAAACAGCCAACAAAATTCGACCTAGCTAACAAGCTCGTGTCAAAAATCCTGCCACCGTCAGAAACACTGCAGTAACATCAGTTTATGCTCTGAGTCACCTTTCCCTAAGAAGGCGGAGAAGGGAAGAGAAGGAAATAGGTGACGAAAATGAAGAGAATGAGAAGAAGAAGAAGAAAATGATGATGAAGAGAAGAAAGAAAGAGAGAGAAAGAAAGAAAGAAAGAAAGGGAGGGAAGGAGGAAAAGGAAGGAAAGTGGAAGGAACATTTTTAATGAAAAGTAACAAAACTAAATTCTTTGAAAAAATGCAAAGGGAAGTAAATTTTTGCATAAATTTCCATAGAAATAATATTTGGAAATATTTCATTTATCACCTCACCCACCTCACTTTGTGAGGATACAGTTTACTATGTGATTTTCAATATGAAATGATTAGCACTGCTTTTTCGCTTAGAGACCCTTGAGTCCTAATGCCCAACTCATTTGTATTGGATCCGGAAT